GCAAACAACATCTGCCGCATTGCCCCCCCTATCCACCCTGTCAGTAAAGCGCCTTTTTTTCCAAATCCCATAAATGCCAACAATTACCTCTTAGCCTTATCTAAATACTGTTCACTTATATTATTTTCACTGTAAACACCTGGTCCACACACCTCCCTACCTTTCCTAAAGCCTTCCTTGATTCTTCTGCTATCCTATTCTACGTCTTACTTTTAATTCTTTCAATAATACTTCTACCAACACTTTACAGGTATACTCAGCAGTACTTATCCCCCTATAATTTTTGCACTCTCTTTTATTCCCCTTTGCCTTTATACAAAGGAACTAGCATGCTCTCTGCCAATCCCTAGAGGTACCTTACCCTCTTCCATACATTTATTAAATTATTGCACCAACCGAGCGTCCAAAACTATAATCCCCCACCTGTCTTTTAACATTTCTATCTTTATCCCATCAATCCGCGGCTGCCTACCCCCTTTCATTCTACCTACTGCCTCACGAACTTCCCCCACACACACAACTGGCTCTTTCCTCACTCCTACTAGATGTTATTCTCCCTGTCCTATACAACACGAATCACAAGCTTCCCTATCATCAATCCAACATTTAACAATTCCTAAAATAATAATAATAAATAAATAATTAAAATAAATAAATAAATAAATGGTAGTAAGTTGGAGAAGCAACCACCCGGGGAGTACTGATCCCGTCCTGCCAAGTGAGTGTAAAACGAAGCCTGTGATTGTTTTACATGATGGTAGGATTGCTGAATGTCTTTTGTTGTCTCATAAAATATGCAAGATTACAGGCATGTCTTGCTACTTTTACTTACACTTAGGTCACACTACACATACATGTACACATTTATTATACACACACATCTGATTTTCTTTGATTTTTCTATCATAATAGTTTTCTTGGTCTTATTAATTTTCCTTTTAAATCCATGGGGAAGTGGAATAGAATCTTTCCTCCGTAAGCCATGCGTGTTGTAAAAAGTCAACTAAAATGCCGGGAAACAATGGCATTAAGTAACCCCTTTTCCTGTAAAGATTACTAAAAAGAATAAGATGGGAAAGAAAATTTGTCAAAGTGGAGTCTGAATGTGCGTGGATGTTTTGGGTGCAGATGATAAGAAAGAGATGATTGTGGATGTTATGAATGAGAAGAAGCTGGATGCCTTGCTTTAAAGTGAAACAAAGCTGAAGGGGGTTGTGGAGAGTTTCAAGTGGAGAGGAATAAATGGGATTAGGTCAGGGGTTTCAAAATAGAGTTAGAGCTAAAGAAGGAGTAGCAATAATGTTGAAGGATAAGCTGATGGCAGGAAAAGAGGGACTATAAATTATTAATTCAAGGATTATGTGGAGTAAAAATAATAGATTGGAAGTGAAAAGTGGTTATAAAAGCGTGTATGCACCTGGAGAAGAGAGAAGTGTAGAGGAGAGAGAGAGATTTTGGGAAATGTTGAGTGAAAGCGTGGGGAGTTTTGAATTTCAAGTGTGAGAGTAATGGTGGTTGGGGATTTTAATGCTAAAGTGGTAAAAATGTTATGGAGGGAGTAGTAGGTAAATTTGGGTGCCGGGTAAATGTAAATGGGGAGCCTTTATTGAGCTATGTGTAGAAAGAAATTTGGTAATAAGTAATACATATTTTATGAAAAAGAGGATAAATAAAATAACAAGGTATGAGTAGCACGTAATGAAAGTAGTTTATTAGATTATGTATTGGTGGATAAAAAGGTTGATGAGTTAGGCTCCAGGATGTACATTTTTATAAGAGGGGCAAACTAATATATTCGGATCATAATTTAGAGTTGTAGCTACAGTTAAGTAAGAGTAGATGGAAAAGAGGAATGGTGGCAACAACAAGTAAAGAGGGAGGGTGAAAGTGTAATATAACTAGGGGAGGAGGAAGTTCGGGTGAGAATAAGCGACTATTGGCAGAAAAGGTGGGCTATGTGCAAAGATGAGTAGTGGGGGGGGTTGAAGAGGGTTGGAATAGTTTTAAAAAAATGAGTATTGAGAATGTGGGGCAGAAGTTTGTGGTTACTATGGAGGGTGGGGGCAGAGGAAAGAGGAGTGATTGTGAATGATGAAGTAAAGGGTGTGATAAAAGGAAAAAGGTAGCTTTTGAGGAGGTTTTTACAAAGCAGAAGTGTTAAAAGAAGAGCAGATATATGGAGAGTAAAAGAAAGGTAAAGAGATTGGTGAGAGAGTGCAAAAGGAGAGCAAGAATAGAGTGGGAGAGGCATTGTCAAGAAATTTTAATGAAAATAAGAAAAAATTTTGGATGTGAGTTAAACAAGTTTAAAGAAGCCTAGGGAAGTAATATGGAGATTTGTCAGTTAAAAACAGAGTAGGGGAGTTAGTAGATGGGGAATGGAGAGATTGGGAAATGGCGAGAATATTTTGAGGAACTTTTAAAATGTTAAGGAGAAGAACAGAGGCAGGTAATTTCATGCACTGGTCAGGGAGGATACATCGTTTCGATTGAAGAAGAGCAGAATGTAAGTGTGGAGGGGAGGTACGTTGAGGCATTATTACGTAAAATGACAGGGGTTAAAGCAGCTGGAACTGATGGTATCATGACAGAAATGGTAAAAGCAAGGGGGGATATAGCGTTGGAGGGGTTGGTACTTTTGTTTAATAAATGTATGAAAGAGGGGAAGGTACCTAGGGATTGGCAGAGCGCAGTATAGTCCCTTTATATAAAGGGAAAGGGGACAAAAGAGACTGTAAAAATTATAGAGGAATAAGCTTACTGAGTATACCAGAAAAGTGTACGGTAGAGTTATAATTGCAAGAATTAAGGTAAGACAGAATGTAGGATTGCGGATGAGCAAGGGAGGTTTTAGATGGGTAGGGGATGTGATAGATCGGCGTTTACATTGAAAAGCAATATATTGGAACAGTATTTAGATAAAGATAGGGAATTTTTTTATTGCATTTATGGATTAAAAAAGGCATATGATGATGGATAGAGGAGTCAATGTGGCAAATGTTGCAAGTATATGGAATTAGTGGTAAGTTATTAAATGCTGATAAAGAGTTTTTATGAGGATAGTGAGGCCAGGTTTGTGGTGTGTAGAAGAAGGGAGACTACTTCCCGGTAAAAGTAGTCCTTAGACAGGATGTGTAATGTCACCGATGGATGTTTTAATATATTTATAGATGTGGGTTGTAAAGGAAGTACAATGCTATGGTGTTTGGGAGAGGGGTGGGATTAAATTATGGGAATCAAATTCAAATGGGAATTGACACAGTTACTTTTTTGCTGATGATACTGTGCTTATAGGGGAGATTCTAAAGTAAAATTGCAAAGTTAGTGGATGAGTTTGGGTGTGTGTAAAAGGTAAAAGTTGAAAGTGAACATAGAAAAGAGTAAGGTGATGAGGGTGTCAAATGATTTAGATAAAATAAATGGATTATCAAATATGGGGAGGAGGAGTATGAAGAAGTGAATGTTTTTCAGAATACTTTGGGAGTTGACGTGTCTGCGGATGGATTTTGAAGCGATGAGGTTAATCATAAGAATGATGAGGGAAAAAAGGTGAGTGGTGCGTTGAGGTATATGTGGAGACAAAAAACGTTATCTATGGAGGCAAAGAAGGGAATGTATGAAAGTAATAGTAGTAACCAACACTCTTATATGGGTGTGAAGCTTGTGGGTGGTAAATGAGCAGCGAGGAGCGGCTGGAGGCAGCGGAGATTCCTGTTTAAGGCAATGTGTGGTGTAAATATTAATGCCAGAAATTCGGAGGTGAAATTAGGAGAAGGTGATGGAGTTAATAAAAGTATTAGTCAGAGGGCAAAGAGGGGTTGTTGAGGTGGTTTGGTCATTTAGGAAGAATGGATCACAGTAGAATGACATGGAAAGCAAATAAAATCTATAGGGGAAGGAAGGCGTGGTAGGGTCGTCCTCGAAAGGGTTGTGAGAGAGGGGGTAAAGGAGGTTTTTTTTGTGGGTAAGGGGCTTGGACTTCCACAAGCGTGCGTGAGCGTGTTAGATGGATGAATTGGAGACGAATGGGTACTTGGGACCTGACGATCTGTAGGAGCTGACAGGGTAATCTTTAGTGACGGGATTCACAGGGAAACCGGTTATTTTCATATAGTCGGACTCTGATTCCTGAAAGGTAAGTACAATGCCTGCATCTTAAAGGAGGGTTTGGGATATTGGGCAGTTTGGAGGGATATGTTGTGTATCTTTATATGTTTATGCTTCTAGACTGTTGTATTCTGAGCACCTCTGCAAAAACAGTGATAATGTGCGAGTGTGGTGAAAGTGTTGAATGATGATGAAAGTATTTTCTTTTTGGGGATTTTCTTTCTTTTTTGGGTCACCCTGCCTCGGTGGGAGACGGCCGACTTGTTGAAAAAAAAAAAAAAAAAAAAAAAAAAAAAAAAAATAGATAACTCGAGATAACTCAAATGAAGTTCTGAAAACTGCTTCATGTCATAAGTAGGGACTGATAATGTCCCACATCACTGTATGACCAACCAAGTTTAGGTACTACTATTACTTGTCCAACTGTCAGCTTTAATAATGGTTTATAAGGTCTAAAACAATAGTCCTAGCTTAGCCAAACCAAGCTCAAGAAGCTTATATGCCTTAGTACAAAAATATGTAACATACATTATACAAAAAATTTTAGTTGTATGTAAAAGTTTTATTAGAAAACTGAGAGGTTGGAAATTTGACAATAAATATATGCAGCAGTAATTTTTGCACAGCCCTCATTATGCACTAAACTCAATGTGGTTTATTCATAGACAGGAGTGTAGACTCAGTCTGCTAATACCCTGACAAATGAGATACTGAATTGTACAATTATTTTTTTCTTAAAGACCAAGAATACTATGCTGATAATATGATTGCTATTATATTGCAAATTATACTTTTAAGTGAGGAGGGAGTTATACATTTACCCGAATCACTTTCCACTACACTGGGAACTATGAATGTTACAAAGTTTAGAAAAGGAATACAAAGTTATTAACCTTGTGATAAGACTCCTGGAGAGATTGTTGTGCTCCTTCAGACCCTGAACCAATAGCTTTGGCACCAAATTCCAAGAAAGTGCCAGATGGGTCCATGTGGTACAGCTGTGTGCCAGATTTGTCAAGTCCTGCAAAGAGCATCGCCACTCCAAATGGACGACTCTGCCAGAACAAAGTTTGAATTACTTAAACTTCTAAAATACAATAAAATTTAAATGTATTTTCAAACATTTTTAGACTTACAAGGTAAACATACTGCAAGTGTGAAAATCTCTTGATATTTTTAACTAGTCAACACTGGTAATTAATGGGCCATTATGTACAGTACAGTGGTCCATTTAGCTAACAGAACCATGTAGCATTATGCTGATTATTTTCCTTATGAATAATATTTGTATTTATATTTTTTATTACATCTAAAATATTCAAGCTCAGATGAAATATCTATTAATATTAGTTTAGAAATACTGTATAACTATTTGTGCTCACTTTTTGTCCAATCATTTTGCTCATCAGAATAAAAAAGAAATATATTGACTAATCTAACAATTGTGCCTTTGCACTGTATTTTAAATGATAATGCATTACAAATGTTAAACAACTGTTGGAGAATATTTAATGTTTAAAAGAACTAGTTATTGCAATTACTATAAAGGCATACAAACTTTTATGTGTTACACTGTTGTATATTTTCAATAAATATAACATCAAGTAAGGATATAACTACAACCTGCAAATATGTGGTGGTTCGGACATGTAGAGAGAATGGAACGAAACAGACTGACTTCGAGAGTGTATAAATCTGTAGAGGAGGGAAGGTGGGGTAGGGGTCAGCCTAGGAAAGGTTGGAGGGAGAGGGTAAAGGAGATTTTTCGTGCGAAGGGCTTGGACTTCCAGCAAGCATGCGTGAGCGTATTTGATAGGAGTGAATGGAGACAAATGGTTTTTAATACTTGACGTGCTGTTGGAGTGTGAGCAAAGTAACATTTATGAAGGGATTCACGGAAACCGGCAGGCTGGACTTGAGTCCTGGAGATGGGAAGTACAGTGTCTGCACTCTGAAGGAGGGGTGTTAATGTTGCAGTTTTATAAACTGTAGTATAAAGCACCCCTCTGGCAAGACAGTGATGGAGTGAATGATGGTGAAAGTTTTTCTTTTTTGGGCCACCCTGCCTTGGTGGGAATCAGCTGATGTGGTAATAATAAAAAATAAAAATTGGGAGCAATATGTTGTGTGAATATTAGGCAATGAATCCATAAAAATTAGAAGACAGTGTAGGTTACTACAGGTATAATACAAAGGGCTGAGGAGGAACTACTGAGGTGGTTTGGGTATTTAGAGAAGATTGAGCAGGATACTATTCGAGGTGGAAGGAAAGTGGGGCAGGGTTCATCCTAGAAATAGTTGCCGAGGGAGAGGGTAAAAAGAGGCTTCGAGTTTTAGAAGCTTCAACAACCAGCAGGCTTCTGTGAACATGTTAACATAGTAGTGAATGGAAACAAGTGGTTTTTAATGCTGGGGGTGTGAGCAAGGTAAATTATGAAGGGATTTAGGGAAAAGTGGTGAGCTGGCCTTGAATCCTGGAGGTGGCAAAGGCAGAGCCTGCACTCTGAAAGATGAGTGAGGATGCTGCAGTTGGGGGGTACTCTGAATTGTAATGACAGCACAATTCTGGAAAAACAGCAATGGAATGAATGGTGAATGCAATTTCTTCTTTGTCTTTAGTGGAACAGAGGAAAAACAAACGCACGTGCATACACACACACACACACACACACACACACACACAGAGGCGACTAAAATGCCGGGAGCAAGGGGCTAGTAACCCCTTCTCCTGCATATTAATAAATTTAAAATAAGAAACTTTCGTTTTTCTTTTTGGGTCACCTGCCTCGGTGGGATATGCCCAGTTTGTTGAAAAAAACCTTATACCCTATATATAAATATAAGAGGGACTAGTAACCCCTTCTCCTATATAAATTACTAAATATAAAAAGAAAAAGTTTTGTTTTTCTTTTTAGGCCACCCCTGCCTCAGTGGGATACGGCCAGTTCGTTGACAAAAAAAAAAAATATACAAACAGCCTCTCCTCACTTAATGGCAGAGTTCTGTTCCTAATAGAGTCGATAAACGAATTCATGTCTAAATGAGGAGCATACTATACAGTAGTGGGTTTATGTCAACCATCTTTGATATTGCTTGAATGTCACCCTTGCACCATTTATAAAATTTTTTAAATATTTATACAGTAGTGTACTGTATACTGTAATAAACAGAATAGAGGAAATCAGCTCTGATATACATTATTTAGGTATGCATACTGGTAAGAGAGCCCATTGTATGTCCGAGTCCTCAGTAAATGAGTACGTCCCTAAGTGAAGAGAGGCTGTATACACGTATATATTTACACACAATACTGTATATACACAGAGAAATATATTTACCATTGCTGGACCATCATCATCTGAGTCACCAAACCTAATAGCAAGGTTTGACACAGCCTGAGCAACAGATTCAACCTTCATGTTCTCATTATACACAAACCAATGATTGGCGCACTCAACTCGTGCATGATCAACTAATGTTCGAGAATCTGCAACCAGTCCTGATACAGCACAACCTGAATGATGACAAAAGAAAACAAAATTATTATAAAGGTCTATACAGGTATTTTTTCTCTAATAATGAGCAGATAGAATGGATATTAAAATATTTGCTAAATTATTCTATTTTAGATGTCTCAACTGAAATTACCAAGCAGGATATTTGGAGATGTAATCTTTAAGACAATTCATTAGGTCACATCTAATAATATTGGCCTCAGCTTCTGAGCTTTGCTGTCACAATAGTTTTAAATATGGATCTGTCTGTCTCATGAGGCCATTAACAAAATGAATTTATTATTGCTTGGTTTAAGACTTCATATGTTTCGATGAATAGTGGGAAGCACTGTACAATGATTACACTTGGTAAATAAAAATTTGTGTGTGCCCTACTAGAAAGTCAGCTAGAGAACAAGTGATGGTGAACATGTTCCCTAATTCTGGTTACTCACCCTGCCAGGTTAAAACAAAAAACATCTTACACTAATGGTGCATGAAGATATCAAATGAATAAATTCAGTTTTTTATATTTTCCAAATACTGTATAACCTTAGGAAGATATTTTCATTTATACTGAGCATAAGATCATTTTAATTTGAAAACTCTGTAGGAATGTCTGTTGCTAACTCTTTTCTTCTTTGCTCTGGAATACTACCACTACATCAGTCAACATTACTGTTGTTTAATGCCAACTTTTTATAAGCATTCAGAACATTCATAAGCTTTCATGTGCTTGCTAATCTCATCTTAACTCAAGAAAGCTTCCTTGTTAATACTCCCTTATTACGGTACCACTTAGTGTAAAAACAGAGCACTGGGTGTAGATAATTTGAAAGACACACAGAAATCTTACCAATGTGACTGTCAATCTCCACAATTTTTTCTATGGTGCTGGGGATCATGAGAGGTGATGTAATCCTCTTCTCAACAGCTAGGACAACCCCCTCACTTGTTTGGATACCAATGGCAGTAGAACCCAACTTTATTGCCTCAATAGCATATTCAACCTAAGGAAGACATTAATAAGTAAAATAACACTGCAGTTTTTAACATATGTTTTGGCAAACTGGCAAAATTAAGACAAGAAAGCAGTATACTGAAAATTATATTTTTTATTTAGAAACTAATATAGACAAGAGCAAACTCTCCATATAACAGGCTAACTGGAGGAAACGAGTGGCTAGTAATGACAATTGTGGTATATAGAGAAGAGATTGTTTTGCTGTTTTTGTAATAATAGCTGACTATTCTGTCAAGTATTTGTTTTCAAATCAACTGACCCAGCAGGTTTTGTTCAATATTTCAGAAGTTCATTATGAAGAGTTTACCATTCTGTAATTTAATTTTACTTGAAATAAGCATATGCTATGCATATTAGAAATAAAAATAGTTGTAATGAACCAGTTACTATTCAATTAAACTTCACACCTTGGATCCCACCTAAACATTACGTATATCATTCAGTTACAAAAATCGTGAATGAGATAATATGTATATGGCAACTGATTCAATTGAATTCTGGGACTGATTTACCTTGCCTGGGACTAATTTACCTCATCAACATTGTACTACTGATCAATATGACCTATCGCAACTTTCAGTTAACCCTTTCAGGGTCCATGCCGTAGATCTACGGCTTTACATTGAGGGTCCAAACCGTAGATCTAAGCCATAAGCTCAGCTCACTCTAAGCTGTGAGCGGTAAATTTGGGCCTAGATATGAGAGAATACATCCATGTGGTATGTGTGCACCACATAAAACAAATCCTGCAGCAAACAGTTCATAATGAGAGAAAAACTGAGACGGCAATTTTCGATCAAAACAGCAACTTTGCAGTGCTTTTTCGTATGTTTCTTATAGTTGTATTTGTGATTTCTTGGTCTCATTTGATATTACAGAAATAGAGATGATTTTGATTGGTTTTAGTACTGAAAATGGCTTGAAACTGAGCTCAAATTAGCGGAAATGTTAAATGTTTGCCAATGTTCAAGAGTAAACAAATGTCCTCACACGTCTAATACACGCCAGCTGGTAGGTCTAATATACGTTCGCAAATGTGCTGATATTATTTATACAATTATTACAATATTGCATGACAGTAAATCTTCTATTTTTTGGTTTGAATAAAAATTCATTATGTGAATTAAAAATCAAAATGGAATTCATTTGTAAAGCCTGAAAAATGTAACTAATGAACAGAGGAAATGTTAATTTAGTGCCAGGAATGCCTGTATTGTTTATTCTGGACCCTATTTTGAAATTGGAATGTTTTGAACTTTGCACTATATTGGCCAAATTACCAATTTCCAATCGCTTTATTTTGTAGATGAAACAGTTAAGTTGGCGATTTCTTGTGCTCAGTCGATAGAATAGAAGTAATACTAGTGAAATAGCTAAGAATTTGGTTGACTGGAATAAGGTAATTGGCCTAAGATGGAAGTTAAAGTCGGCAATATCGCCAATGCCTAAATATAGCTGACACATCAAAATTCGCGAGAGCATAATTTCATCAATTTTCCGTCAAATTTCGTACTTTTTGTTTTATTACCTTCAGAAAAAGATTCTCTACCATTTCATAAGAAAAAATAACAAAATTGTTTTTTGAAAATTCTTGGACACTGATGTGCACTTTGAAATTTGGCCTCTGGACCCTGAAAGGGTTAAATAAGGAGGTGAATGTACTCAGATATTTGGGAGTGGACGTGTCAGTGGATGGGTCTAAGAAAGATGAGGCGAATCATAGAACTGATGAGGGGAAAAGGGCGAGCGGTGCACTTAGGAGTCTGTGGAGACAAAGAACTTTGTCCTTGGAGGCAAAGAGGGGAATGTATGAGAGTATAGTTTTACCAACGCTCTTATATGGGCATGAAGCATGGGTGATGAATGTTGCAGCAAGGAGAAGGCTGGAGGCAGAGGAGATGTCATGTCTGAGGGCAATGTGTGGTGTGAATATAATGCAGAGAATTCGTAGTTTGGAAGTTAGGAGGAGGTGTGGGATTGCCAAAACTGTTGTCCAGAGGGCTGAGGAAGGGTTGTTGAGGTGGTTCGGACATGTAGAGAGAATGGAGCGAAACAGAATGACTTCAAGAGTGTATCAGTCTGTAGTGGAAGGAAGGCGGGGTAGGGGTCGGCCTAGGAAATGTTGGAGGGAGGAGGTAAAGGAGGTTTTGTGTGCGAGGGGCTTGGACTTCCAGCAGGCATGCGTGAGCGTGTTTGATAGGAATGAATGGAGACAAATGGTTTTTAATACTTGACATGCTGTTGGAGTGTGAGCAACGTAACATTTATGAAGGGATTCAGGGAAACCGGCAGGCTGGACTTGAGTCCTGGAGATGGGAAGTACAGTGCCTGCACTCTGAAGGAGGGGTGTTAATGTTGCAGTTTAAAAACTGTAGTGTAAAGCACCCTTCTGGCAAGACAGTGATGGAGTGAATGATGGTGAAAGTTTTTCTCTTCGGGCCACCCTGCCTTGGTGGGAATCAGCCAGTGTGTTAATAATAATAAAATAAAGATTAGGCAATTTGTTAACTGCAGACCATTTAAAGAATATAATCACATGATAACATTTTGGGATTATCATACAAAAAAAGTGATTTATGAGTTATCAGTGAAAAAAATGTCTCTATCATATCATATAAATGAAATTGTGAGAAATGCATATAATGCACCAAACTAGCTAACTATATAAATATATAGATGCTGAAAAAGTCTGTTTACAACATATACTAGCTAAAATTGGAATATGCAGCTATAGTGTGGTATCCATACCTAAAAAAAAACTATGTGGATCAGACAGAAAAAATGGATCCCAGAGCTAAAAAAAAAAAAAGTTAGGATGAAAAGCTGGAAACACAGGATGCCCACACTGGCTGACATATATAGAAAGCAGAGATATTATAACATAAGGTTATAAAAGGATACAAAAGCATAATGCTTTTAGTACCTTCAGCAGGAATAACAATAGGCAACAGATAAATTAAGAATAAAATTGAGCTGAAGGTATACTGGGAAATTTTTTCTTTACAACTAAACTGGCAAAGAAATGAGAACAGCTCAACTCTAGTAGCTACAAACAGACAATTACAAATAGGATCTAATTACTAACCTGAAATAGACGACCCTCAGGAGAAAATGTGTTGACTCCACGATCATACTCACTGCGTGTTAAAAACATCTGAAAAGAATGCACCGAAAATGAAAGGCTGTATTAAAAAGTACAGTACATGTACTTATCTTGAAACTACAATCACTGTAGTATGCTATACACATTAAATAAGAGCAAAGATAAAATCTTAAATTTTATGTCACTGCCAAAAGAAAATGTTCAAAACATTTTAAAATAAAGTAATAGCAGCTCAAGTTAGTTTCATTTAGGTCCCATATATAACCTAGAACTTTCACTGTGGTTTTATATATGTAGTATATGTGGAATTTAACTAGGATAACACAAAGTCAATGTGATTTATTTTCATTTACAAAAGGCATTCAATGATTCAGTAACCAAACTAAGCAACTTTATGAAAACCTGCTATGCTATTTTGTCTTTCACTGTTGACGGAAGTTACCAGTTGGGAACACCAAAAGATAGATTTACTGGCTGGCTGGCAGCATACCTCATTATATTTACAGTTTGGTAGAGGAGGAAGTGCTAATCCTGTAGGGATTGTACAGCACTCAGGGAAATGGGAGGCAATCAGGTTCGATCCAAGGAAAGGAAAGGGCAGATCCAATTCCTTAGATCAAGAGCCTCTCACCAACATCAAAAAACCTTCCCTGAGGGGTGGCAACATACCAAGATGGTCATGTTGGAGCCATCATAATTTTTCATTGCCCTCATGTTTATGCCAGTTTCGTAGCTCACCCCCAGACTCTTGGAACACTGCCTGTAACATTCCCTAATGACTGTCTCACTGCCTGCCATACCCTTCACAGTGAGCTCAGTTACCCCCCCCCCACCCACTTTCTTTTGAGATGTTTTAACTACTGTTCAACTGTCTCCCAGCATACATATGGGGGATTACCAATAGACCCCTGGCTGTCTTCAAGCAGGCACTGGAGAAGCACCTAAAGTCGGTACCTGACCAGCCGTGCTGTGGTTCGTACGTTGGTTTGCATGCAGCCAGCAGTAACAGCCTGGTTGATCAGGCCCTGATCCACCATGAGGCCTGATCACAGACTGGGCTGCGGGGGCGTTGACCCCCGGAACTCTCTCCAGGTAAACTCCAGGAAAACAGGGCCATATAAACAAACTTAACACTATACTTGAATATACCCTTGTGGAAGAGAATCATTTCATTCTGACTTCCACCTACACATCCAAGAATGATGCTCATGCCTGTCCTCCCCAGCTTTATCCATATACAATAAAATAAAAACCACAGTACCATGGCTGCAAGAAATCAAAAGTTCAAATATTATGAATGAAAACTTTATTACATTTCAATTCATCCTAGACCATTATCAGTTGTTCTACTCTTCAATACAACCAACAACATCTTTGGCGTTTTTTTTTTTACCACACTTTTTTAACTTTAGTTTTGGCTTTCGGTGTTCTTACTAGTGACTCAGTTAGTCAGTAATTGGTGAAACAGGATTGTGTCCTGTTTCACCTACTTCCTGCTAGGTGAACAGGGACAAGAAACTTATCCAACATCTCTCCTCGTGCCAGAGATTGAACCTTGGTGTCTCAGTGAGCCAGCTGAGGTGGCTACTAACTGAGCCACAAGGCTCCTTAGCCACCTTGGATCAAGAGCCATTTACCATTATTAAGGCATTCCATCTTAAGCTTTAATACTCAAAAATTCCGATCGATTAGGTAATTAAATATATAAGGTCGTTGTTAATGGGGAAGCTATCTACTCGAAGTTCATTAACTTGACTCACATTCCCAGGTATCAATAACCACTGAGAGACATTGTTTAACTTCTACCAGGTGATGCTAAGAAATAATTCTCGGGTGTAAATACTCAAGAGTCCTCCATAAACTTAGTCATGTTCAGGCCTCATTAACCTCCTGTCTCTTGAACCACCTGTCTCCTCACCACCGCTTTAACTACCAATAAATAACTATCACTTACACCGCTATTCGACCCTCAACAGCAAGAAAAACACACAAATTCTGGCCAAGTGTTACCTTCTCCAGTGAGGAATGATGAGCAGCGGCGGGAGTGACTTGTGTTTTGGCCGGTGTTTACCTCGCTCCAATAAAAAAAATAATGGCATAATTTCAATATTTCACACATATTGTTGAGGATTTTTGGCTTCAAATTTTTTCATAAATTTACTGGAAAAAAATAACTTTTATCTTGTTATAATCTTTTTACAGGTTTAGAAGTATTTTTTTATGCCGATATATTTAGGAGGTACTGAAGCATCAGTGATAAATGATAAACTTAATCAAAATTAAATAAAATTTTATATTCCTTAATGTATTGTTAAGCACAAAAAGCCACTAGCATGCATGAGCATTTCTGGCAGTTTTATTTCAATAAAGAATGCTTTTCAACTGGTACAAAAAAGGTGATATTATTGCCATAATTTACACACAGCAGAGCATTTCTGTCAGCCTTAAAATGACTTATAATTAGTCATAACCACTCCTGGAAGTAGTAAGAAAATCTGATGTAGCATTTGTGGAGATTATAACTAATAATGGTCAAATATAAATGAAGATACTAATCTAAATTTCAGTATTACTGTACATGACATGCAATAAACAGAAGACATATCCTCCCTCTGGTCCTCGTGGCTGGGTTGGTAGCGCCTTAAACTCACACTGCGGGGTCCGGAATCGATCCCCGGCACGGGTGAAACATTAGCCATGTTTCCTAACACCTGCTGCCGATATTCACCTAGCAGCCAGTAGGTACCTGGGCGTTAACCAATTGTTGTAGGTTACATCCTGGGGGACAAAATGAACCTAAGTTTCCAGAAATGCTCTACATAACCAGAAACCTTCCATATAATATGCTAATGATGTCAGCTAAGTCTGTATCAGTTGAATCGTGTACTTATATCTTGTATAAATAAACATTATTTATTTATTAAAAACGAAATATTTTTTTGAGAGGGTTGTAGAGAATTTTAAAATTAATACAGAGAAAAAGAAAACTGAAAAATATTGAAAACTCGCGTCTTATAGTGTTCTTTTTAAATGTCTTTAGTCGAGTGAACCTTAAATACTGTGCAGCTTGGTGCCCGAGCCATTCATCTGCCGCACTCTGCACTATGCCTTTCGCTTGGATTGAGGTACAGGGGACTAGGGTTATACAGTATGGGGATACCTTTCTCGGGTCGCGCAGCGACTGAAATACTTCCAGTTTTTAGGTTGAATTTCCTTAGGTTAGTATACCTAGAGGGGGTTTCCGGGGGTCAACGCCCCAGGAGCCCGGGCCTGATATCAACCAGGCTGTTACTGCTGACCGCAGGTAAACCGAAGTACGAGCCACAGCCTGGCTGATCAGGTATTGACTTAGGTGCCTAGCCAGGGGTCTATAAATAATTACTAATAATTATCATGTAATTGTAAATAATTATCATAATTATAAATAATTATCATATGATAGTTTTACTAAGTAGGTAGTAGGTTGGTAGACAGCAACCACCCAGGGAGGTACTACCGTCCTGCCAAGTGAGTGTAAAACGAAAGCCTGTAATTGTTTTACCAGCAAATAATAGAGCCTACTAGACTGGAGAATACACTAGACCTCATCTTCACTAACAATGATGATCTGATAAGAAATGTCACCATATCAAAAACAATATACTCAGATCACAACATAATTGAGGTTCAGACATGTATGCGTGGAGCCCCAGACCGACAAAATGAGACTAGTCACGAGGGAGCATTCACCAAATTCAACTTCAATAACAAAAACATAAAGTGGGACGAAGTAAACCAAGTCCTAACCGATATAAGCTGGGAAGATATACTAAGCAACACAGACCCAAACTTATGCCTAGAACAGATTAACTCGGTGGCACTCGATGTATGCACAAGGCTTATTCCTCTAAGAAAAAGGAGGAGTAGATGTAAAATAGAAAGAGACAGGCGCTCCCTTTACAGGCGACGGAAAAGAATAACAGAGCGGCTAAAAGAGGTCAATATATCTGAAATGCGCAGGGAGACACTGGTCAGAGAAATAGCAAGCATCGAACTTAAGCTAAAAGAATCCTTTAGGAGTCAGGAATCGCGGGAAGAACTAAAAGCCATAAATGAAATCGAAAGAAACCCAAAGTATTTCTTCTCCTATGCCAAATCAAAATCGAGAACAACGTCCAGTATTGGGCCCCTACTTAAACAAGATGGGTCCTACAGAGATGACAGCAAGGAAATGAGTGAGCTACTCAAGTCCCAATATGACTCAGTTTTTAGCAAGCCGCTAACCAGACTGAGAGTCGAAGATCAAAATGAATTTTTTATGAGAGAGCCACAAAATTTGATTAACACAAGCCTATCCGATGTTATCCTGACGCCAAATGACTTCGAACAGGCGATAAATGACATGCCCATGCACTCTGCCCCAGGGCCAGACTCATGGAACTCTGTGTTCATCAAGAACTGCAAGAAGCCCCTATCACGAGCCTTTTCCATCCTATGGAGAGGGAGCATGGACACGGGGGTCGTCCCTCAGTTACTAAAAACAACAGACATAGCCCCACTCCACAAAGGGGGCAGTAAAGCAACAGCAAAGAACTACAGACCAATAGCACTAACATCCCATATCATAAAAATCTTTGAAAGGGTCCTAAGAAGCAAGATCACCACCCATCTAGAAACCCATCAGTTACACAACCCAGGGCAACATGGGTTTAGAACAGGTCGCTCCTGTCTGTCTCAACTACTGGATCACTACGACAAGGTCCTAAATGCACTAGAAGACAAAAAGAATGCAGATGTAATATATACAGACTTTGCAAAAGCCTTCGACAAGTGTGACCATGGCGTAATAGCGCACAAAATGCGCGCTAAAGGAATAACAGGAAAAGTCGGTCGATGGATCTATAATTTCCTCACTAACAGAACACAGAGAGTAGTCGTCAACAGAGTAAAGTCCGAGGCAGCTACGGTGAAAAGCTCTGTTCCACAAGGCACAGTACTAGCTCCCATCTTGTTCCTCATCCTCATATCCGACATAGACAAGGATGTCAGCCACAGCACCGTGTCTTCCTTTGCAGATGACACCCGAATCTGCATGACAGTGTCTTCCATTGCAGACACTGCAAGGCTCCAGGCGGACATCAACCAAATCTTTCAGTGGGCTGCAGAAAACAATATGAAGTTCAACGATGAGAAATTTCAATTACTCAGATATGGTAAACATGAGGAAATTAAATCTTCATCAGAGTACAAAACAAATTCTGGCCACAAAATAGAGCGAAACACCAACGTCAAAGACCTGGGAGTGATTATGTCGGAGGATCTCACCTTCAAGGACCATAACATTGTATCAATCGCATCTGCTAGAAAAATGACAGGATGGATAATGAGAACCTTCAAAACTAGGGAGGCCAAGCCCATGATGACACTCTTCAGGTCACTTGTTCTATCTAGGCTGGAATGTTGCTGCACTCTAACAGCACCTTTCAAGGCAGGTGAAATTGCCGACCTAGAAAATGTACAGAGAACTTTCACGGCGCGCATAACGGAGATAAAACACCTCAATTACTGGGAGCGCTTGAGGTTTCTAAACCTGTATTCCCTGGAACGCAGGAGGGAGAGATACATGATTATATACACCTGGAAAATCCTAGAGGGACTAGTACCGAACTTGCACACGAAAATCACTCACTACGAAAGCAAAAGACTTGGCAGACGATGCACCATCCCCCCAATGAAAAGCAGGGGTGTCACTAGCACGTTAAGAGACCATACAATAAGTGTCAGGGGCCCGAGACTGTTCAACTGCCTCCCAGCACACATAAGGGGGATTACCAACAGACCCCTGGCAGTCTTCAAGCTGGCACTGGACAAGCACCTAAAGTCAGTTCCTGATCAGCCGGGCTGTGGCTCGTACGTTGGTTTGCGTGCAGCCAGCAGCAACAGCCTGGTTGATCAGGCGCTGATCCACCAGGAGGCCTGGTCACAGACCGGGCCGCGGGGGCGTTGACCCCCGAAACTCTCTCCAGGTAAACTCCAGGTAGGAAGGTGTATAAATATACCTATAGTGTATAAATATACTTGGATGAATTTTATTGTGACTAGCTGGCCCAGTGGCTAATGAGACGGTCTGGAGTTTTGAGACTCTGACCGCGGGTTCTAACCCACCCGTGGTATGGTTTGGTAGGTTCCTCGTGTTTGCGATACTTTACCTTAGAAAATCATCTCTCTCTTAGACAGGAACTCAAAAGAGCTTCAGAAAATGTCGTTAGGAGATTAAGCAAGTTTATTCAGGTATACACAAATACAGTTATATAGATTATTATACATAGTAGCATATCTGTAGAGAACCTGGGATAACCCAAAAAAGTCAGACATAGTGACTTATTTCTGTACATAGTTCTACTGTCTTCAAGTTATGTCCTAGAATTTGTATTGATAAAGCCACTGGATGGCGAAACGTCTACAATAAAGATACCCAGATGTTGCACATGTGTCTTAATCTCATCTTGTCGGTATTATATACCATTCGTACACAACTTATTTCTACTGGGGTCCTGGAAAGTTAGCATTTACCTAGTTTTGCATTCATGGGATAATTATTTTGACATAGTTTTCACTACGAGGTTTGGTATTGTGTTGATCATTAGGATTAAGGAAAGTTACCATTATCTAGCCAAGAAAGAATAACTCATTTCTAGTTAACACTTGATCCTCACATTCCTTTCTCTTTCGAAATTCGGATTTTTATGCCGGGAATATACTTTTCTTTTCCTAACGAGTCCCAATACCCAATCACTTAGTAATTCTTCGGGATGGATTGAAACCTTGTCCAAAATTACCTCTTCAAGGTCTGAATTATTTATGAATTAGCTAAAAAGTTACATTGATAAAGATACATTTGCAGTAGATGAAGTTAGAATAATCTGAAATATTTGACGATTGAGAGAAATTGAACCCAAACTGGTACACCTGAAGCAGTAGTCCCTGAAATCATTTATTATTCACACCATACCCATCCTGTAGGAGGTAGTCAAAAGATTACAGAGGTACATAATGGGCCCAGGAACTAGACCCCAAAGTTATGATAGCTGAACTAGTTACAAAGGTAATGAACTCCAGGTAGAGCTGGTCACAATCATGATAAGTTACAAAGGTAATTATTATCATTTACAGCAGCAATGCTACATATAACTATGGGCTTTTCCTTGTAAGAAACATTGTTAACCTGCTACAACAACTCTAACAGCGCTGATAAGTAAATAAGTTTATTTAGGCACAGGTGCACGTAAGCACAATTATCATACATAGTATAAATTACCTAGGAAAATCCAAAAAAAAGTCAAAGTGACTTATTTCCATTAGGGTCCTTGATATCATTAACAGATACAATGCTATGTACAACCAAGGGTTTTTCCTTGTAAGAAACATATACTTTTAACCTGCTCTAACAATTCTGACGTATCATCTTGGGAAATAAAATCATTATCATTATTAATGAAGCTGTCATTACAGTTATGAAGAGTGCTCACTTGAGCATACACATGCTCACTCAAGCTCTGTAATAATATACAATATGCAACCCAATATTAGAATCAATTTAAGCTCAGTGACCAAGTTACCTATCCCATTTGGAGATTTTTTTTTTGTAGTGCATTATAAGTGATATTTAAAGACTTTTCTTGAACACTATGATAAATTTACCTCTTAAATTCTTGGACTTTCTCTCATTCGGGTTTATAATGACGCAAGATGTAGTAACTGATCTTGCTGACACAGGATGAACAAATCAGATGATGGTGTAATCTTTCAGAGACATTTGTAGTCTCATGCAGACGTCTGGCGGCTGTAATATCAACCTAGGAAATAGGTGTAAGATGAATGGTAACGGAACTTTCACACAATAACCAGACGGTGGATCGAGCCTCAACCTCTTGTAGAGCTCACACGGGTTTACGCTTAACACCGAGTATAATTATCGTCGTTTTTAAGAGGTACAATAAGCCTCTTGAAGCCAAAGGAGAGTGGAAGAGGAGGGGCCAGTAGCTGTGAATCGACCCCTGAAACCACATAAAGGTGAGTACACAGATATTATTATATATATATATATATATATATATATATAATATATAATATATATATATATATATATATATATATATATATATATAACAATAAGATCACAGTAAACAGGTGATTTCAAAATATACAAAACAACCACTCTGAAAGAATAGAGAAATTTCAAGCGCTTTCGTGACTACTCACATTATCATAGTTCCTTGATAATGTGAGTAGTCACGAAAGCGCTTGGAATTTCTCTATTCTTTCAGAGTGGTTGTTTTGCATATATATATATATATATATATATATATATATATATATATAATATATATATATATATATATATATATATATATATATATAAATATATATATTATTATATATATATATATATATATATATATAATATATATATATATATATATATATATATATATATATATATATATTTAAACAGTAAGTTTATTTACGTACAGGTATACATTATGTAGAATTATGATACAAAGTAACATATGTAAATAACCTAGGATAATCCCCCCAAAAAGTCAGTTAATGTGGATATCCGGTCCTTTTGAGAGATCACGCATTATTGTCTATTGTAAAATACAAGTATGGTATCTGCATATAACCCGGCACAAATGATTGTGTCTCGCTGAAATTGTCGCTCAAAGAGATATAACAACAAAAATAATCCATATATTACTGGGTGTGCAGCATGTCAGGGAAGTTAAGTCTTCTGGCAAGTCACCGTGAACATGATAAGATTTATTGGGATTTTTTAAGCCGTGGTAGGGAGGGTTAGTCACCCATGATAACCCAGGGAAGTCAGGGCTTCATCGAAGGACTGTCTGTCTTAGTTACGTTGTGGTCCTTCAATCTTGTTCCCCAGGATGCCACCCACACCAGTCCACTAGCACCCAGGTACCTACTTACTGCTAGGTGAACAGTGATAACAGGTGTAAGGTGACTAATACCCAGGTACCTACTTACTGCTAGGTGAACAGTGATAACAGGTGTAACGTGACTTAATACCCAGGTACCCATTACTGCTAGGTGAACAGTGATAACAGGTGTAACGTGACTTAATACCCAGGTACCTACTTACTGCTAGGTGAAGTGACAACAGGTGTAAGGAAACATGCCCAACGTTTTCACCCTGCTGGGGATTGAACCCCGGACACTCAGTGTGTGAGGCAAGTAAGCTTTTTCAGGAACAAACTCCCGACGTTGTGTAGTTTTAAAAATAGGTTAGATAAGTACATGAGTTGTAGGTAGTAGGTTGATAGACAGCAACCACCCAGGGAGGTACTACCGTCCTGCCAAGTGATTGTTAAACGAAAGCCTGTAATTGTTTTACATGATGGTAGGATTGCTGGTGTCCATTTTTCTGTCTCATAAACATGCAAGATTTCAGGTACGTCTTGCTTCTTCTACTTACACTTAGGTCACACTACACATACATGTACAAGCATATACACACCCCTCTGGGTTTTCTTCTATTTTCTTACTAGTTCTTGTTCTTGTTTATTTCCTCTTATCTCCATGGGGAAGTGGAACAGAATTCTTCCTCCGTAAGCCATGCTTGTTGTAAGAGGTGACTAAAATGCCGGGAGCAAGGGGCTAGTAACCCCTTCTGTATAAATTATTAAATTTAAAAAGATAAAATTTCGTTTTTCTTTTTGGGTCACCCTGCCTTGGTGGGATACGGCCGGTTTGTTGAAAAAAAAAGTACGTGAGTGGGTGTGAGTTTGATCTGACTAGCTTGTGCTACTAAGTCAGATGTCGTGCTCCTTCCTTAAGTGAACGTGACTTGACCTGACTAGGTTAAAGCATTGGTTTAAGCCGGTAGGAGAACTGGACATGCCTCGCATGGGCCAGTAGGCCTGCTGCAGTTTTCCTTCTGTCTTATGTTCTTAAATACAGTTACATTATCATACATAGCAGTATATGTGACTCTTTTAACTCCACTTGAGCCATTCCTGGCACTCAGGCTGGAGCTCAAATACCAGAACGACAAAATAGAGAGCTATATATATATATATATATATATATATATATATATATATATATATATATATATATATATATATAATATATATATATATATATATATATATATATATATATATCATGTGGGAGTTCGATACGTGGATTAGGGAAGAAATACTCACGTAGGCTGTTATTACGTATATTGCTGTTATGTGCATAGAGCCCTTGCCAGCCGTACCTATCTCCTTGGTTACACTCGTAATACTGACTAGCCGGCTGCAGTACCCTATGTGAGGGGGCCTTATACTGCTGAGGTCAGCACAATATGAATTCAGATAGTGCTAAGCGATGGGGGGCAAGGACGAGACCAAGAGAGGAAGAAAAAGTAGTGTAGGTGGTAAGGCTGATAGTTGAAGTAGTAATAGAAAGTAGGGAGTAGAAGATTAGTGGCAAGAGTGTTGCCTACCAAGCCACGGGATATATAGAATGTAAAGAGAGGAGCTCCAGTCCCATATATACCGCTGTCAGAGCAAGGTTAAGTAAACATTAGGTTATTTTTTGCACATCTATGTCCATGAAAAACAAACCTAATATTGAATTTTTGTTAGACAAATTAATCGCGAAACTGACACAATGACCAGATCTCTATAATTACCTATATAACTCAGATATAGCCCCACAAAATTATAATAGCACTTATTTTTTTTTAGACATAGTATATAATTTAACGTAAATATCCTAGCTAGAGGAACCGTATCCCCTTCTGATTCATAAATTATATAACTACGGTTTACAAATGAAAGATTATTAATATAATTTTATAAGTATAGCAACAAGATACATTTATAAGAATAAAGTAAATATAATGCCTATCTTGACGAAGCATAATTATTTACAGCAACAAAACAGATAAATGCGTATTTATTATATAATACCATTACAATTCACTGTGTAATACGGAATTAAAACTCGCTTCTGTAGTTCATCTTTGCAGATAAAAAGCTTTATTATATTCAACTTGTTAACTTATTTTAACAAAATTAAGGCAAGATAAAATATAAATAGCCATTTATGTGAAAGCATATGTTAATATGCATGTACCATGATAGTAGCAAGGTGAATATAATATTACGTTATTAGAACCAGATCTGTTTATCTAGTGGTACTATGTCTAGATTATTGTAAGCATTTTGGTAGTGAGAGGAGCGAGAGTTATACAGCTTTCCTCTGTGGTGTAAGCTTATTAGTGGGCTTAGAGAGTTACAAAGTATTGCTTCTATGATGTAATCTTAGTAGAGGGTTTACAGGATGATATAAAGCTTCCATCGGTGATAAAAGCTTAGTAGTGAGCTCGAGAGTGATACAAACCAATCCTTGGTGGTGTAAGCTAAGTAGCTAACTTTGAGATTGATACATACCTATCTCGGTTATGTAAGCTTAGTAGTGAGCTTAAAGACATAAACTTTATCTCGGTGTTGTACTCTTTGTGGTGACATTTAAGTGGTACAATCTTTCCATCAGTGATTTAAGCTTAGTGAGCCTTGAGAAGTACACAAGCCGCTTATCTGTGCTTTAAGCTTAGTAGCGAGTTAAGAGGGTGAAATTAACCTTCTCTGTGTGATATAAGTTTAGTAGTTGGTGTAGAGTGACAAAAGAACATAAGAATAGTGGAGCAGTCCATCAGTTCTACTGACCCATGCTAGGAAGGTACAACTCGCACCCATCAACATCTGCTTATATACCTGCTAAACCTGTTTTAAAAGCTACCTAAAGGTCTTGCCTCATTGATGTTATAAACCTTCCCTGTGTAGTTTAAGCTTAGTAGTGATCGTAGAGGGTTACAAATCTTCCCTTGGTGGTGTAAGCTTGATAGTGGGCAGAGAGAAAGTAATATATATATATATTTGCTTTCTTTGGACTTGTTTGAAAATAGGGAGTGATGGTTGTTTTATTCAGTTCTTTATTTAGGAAAGTCAAAAACCATAGAGTTATATACCTGGAGACCTGGAGAGAGTTTCGGGGGTCAACGCCCCCGTGGCCCGGTCTGTGACCAGGCCTCCTGGTGGATCAGCGCCTGATCAACCAGGCTGTTGCTGCTGGCTGCACGCAAACCAACGTACGAGCCACAGCCCGGCTGATCAGGAACTGACTTTAGGTGCTTGTCCAGTGCCAGCTTGAAGACTGCCAGGGGTCTGTTGGTAATCCCCCTTATGTGTGCTGGGAGGCAGTTGAACAGTCTCGGGCCCCTGACACTTATTGTATGGTCTCTTAACGTGCTAGTGACACCCCTGCTTTTCATTGGGGGGATGGTGCATCGTCTGCCAAGTCTTTTGCTTTCGTAGTGAGTGATTTTCGTGTGCAAGTTCGGTACTAGTCCCTCTAGGATTTTCCAGGTGTATATAATCATGTATCTCTCCCTCCTGCGTTCCAGGGAATACAGGTTTAGAAACCTCAAGCGCTCCCAGTAATTGAGGTGTTTTATCTCCGTTATGCGCGCCGTGAAGGTTCTCTGTACATTTTCTAGGTCGGCAATTTCACCTGCCTTGAAAGGTGCTGTTAGAGTGCAGCAATATTCCAGCCTAGATAGAACAAGTGACCTGAAGAGTGTCATCATGGGCTTGGCCTCCCTAGTTTTGAAGGTTCTCATTATCCATCCTGTCATTTTTCTAGCAGATGCGATTGATACAATGTTATGGTCCTTGAAGGTGAGATCCTCCGACATAATCACTCCCAGGTCTTTGACGTTGGTGTTTCGCTCTATTTTGTGGCCAGAATTTGTTTTGTACTCTGATGAAGATTTAATTTCCTCATGTTTACCATATCTGAGTAATTGAAATTTCTCATCGTTGAACTTCATATTGTTTTCTGCAGCCCACTGAAAGATTTGGTTGATGTCCGCCTGGAGCCTTGCAGTGTCTGCAATGGAAGACACTGTCATGCAGATTCGGGTGTCATCTGCAAAGGAAGACACGGTGCTGTGGCTGACATCCTTGTCTATGTCGGATATGAGGATGAGGAACAAGATGGGAGCTAGTACTGTGCCTTGTGGAACAGAGCTTTTCACCGTAGCTGCCTCGGACTTTACTCTGTTGACGACTACTCTCTGTGTTCTGTTAGTGAGGAAATTATAGATCCATCGACCGACTTTTCCTGTTATTCCTTTAGCGCGCATTTTGTGCGCTATTACGCCATGGTCACACTTGTCGAAGGCTTTTGCAAAGTCTGTATATATTACATCTGCATTCTTTTTGTCTTCTAGTGCATTTAGGACCTTGTCGTAGTGATCCAGTAGTTGAGACAGACAGGAGCGACCTGTTCTAAACCCATGTTGCCCTGGGTTGTGTAACTGATGGGTTTCTAGATGGGTGGTGATCTTGCTTCTTAGGACCCTTTCAAAGATTTTTATGATATGGGATGTTAGTGCTATTGGTCTGTAGTTCTTTGCTGTTGCTTTACTGCCCCCTTTGTGGAGTGGGGCTATGTCTGTTGTTTTTAGTAACTGAGGGACGACCCCCGTGTCCATGCTCCCTCTCCATAGGATGGAAAAGGCTCGTGATAGGGGCTTCTTGCAGTTCTTGATGAACACAGAGTTCCATGAGTCTGGCCCTGGGGCCAGCTTAGTACAAGGATTACAAAATATATATAATTATTATAGATATTCAGAAGTGACATTTTATGATGACTTTTCCAAGGATGTGCTTACAGCTTCTTGAAAGGCTTTATATCTATTATGGTCTATATTTTGTCTTATCCAGACACACATGTATTTACTGTACATCAGTCCTAACATCATATACTACACAACTTGCACATAGAAGAGAAGCTTACAATGTTTCAATCCGACTTGGACTATTTACAAAGTCACACTGACATAAAAGAGATGTTCATGTTCATGTGCATTTGTCAGGATGGGTCCTGGCTCGGGTCTTCTCCATGTGGTGACCAGGCAGTGGCTCCTGAAAGAGTGTCAGAGTTGGTACAAGTGATGTACTGTTTACAGCCCTATGGCAGGGGCAGCCCTATGGCAAAGGCATGGTGAGTCTTTTTCAGTTCAATTGGAGTACCACTTGGAAATAAATGGTATAAAATACCGACACAGTGGAAATATAAGCACAAATGCAGTATAATGTGATCCTTTATTGACAATGTTTCACCCACACAGTGGGCTTTTTCAAGTCACACACGGATCTACCTGGGGTTGGAAGGTACGAGAGTATTTATAGTCATGTTCAGAATGTTGAGGTCAGGTGGAGAATGCTGCATCTGATGATCTACCGGGTGGGGTTATACAGTCTTGGGTAGCTTGGCAGGGGTATTGGACAAGTTGTGAGTAGACTTTCTGCAGTGTTCTATGTTCTTATGTGGGATAGCGATGAAGAATTGAACAAGTATTTTCTAAACTCCGCTATCCTCGTCACTTCATCAGAGACTGCAGACGGCGGGCATTAAACATCTTCAACACACCCAGAGAAGACACTGCCGAGAAGAGATACATAGTCCTCCCAACCAACTCCATTGCCAAACATGTTTCCAACATCTTTGCCAAAACATCATTCCAAGTATCTACCTCCACAACCACGACCATCAAGGACAGTAGTAGACAGGACAAGCCTCCATCCTCTGCATGGGTATACATAATCCCTTGTTATGACTGCAACAAATTATATGTGGGCGAAACATCAAGAGACCTCCAAACACGTATTTCAGAACACCAATATGCAAGCAGGACTGACGATACAAGGAATGCCTGTGTACAACATCGCAATTCACACAACCATTTAATTAACTACAGAAACTCAAGACTTATAGCCACAGAAGACAACACTCAATACAGAAGAATCCTGGAATCATCGCTCATCTCTACAACCAACAATTTCAACCAGAACAATGGCTTCTATAACATAGCTGAACCACTCGCCAAGAAACTTCTTCATCGCTATCCCACATAAGAACATAGAACACTGCAGAAAGTCTACTCACAACTTGTCCAATACCCCTGCCAAGCTACCCAAGACTGTATAACCCCACCCGGTAGATCATCAGATGCAGCATTCTCCACCTGACCTCAACATTCTGAACATGACTATAAATACTCTCGTACCTTCCAACCCCAGGTAGATCCGTGTGTGACTTGAAAAAGCCCACTGTGTGGGTGAAACGTTGTCAATAAAGGATCACATTATACTGCATTTGTGTTTATATTTCCACTGGAGTACCACTTACAGCTCTATGGTGGGGGCAGCCCTATAACAACGGTGCGGTGAGTCATCTTTGTGTCAAGTGGAGTACCGGATACAGCCCTGTGGTGGGGGCAGCATATGGCAAAAGCGTGGTGAGCTGTCTTTGTCAAGTGGAGTACTGCTTATGGCCCTAGTGTGGGGGCAGCCCTGTGGCAAGGGCACAGTGAGCCATGTTTGTTAGGTGGACTACTGTTTACAGCCCTTTGGCAGGGCAGCCCTATGACAAAGGCACAGTGACTCTTTCAATTCCATTTGAGCTATTCCTGGCACTCAGGCTGCAGCCCAAATGCCAGAACGACAAAATAGAGAGAGAGCCATATATATATATAAGCGATGGGGGACAAGCACAAGACCAAGAGAGGAAGATAAAGTAGTGGTGGTGGTAAGGCTGATAGTGGAAGTAGTAGTAGAAAGTAGGGAGTAGTTTAGTGGCACAAGAGAGAAAGGGGAGTGAAGGGTGAGGGGAGGCAATAGTAATGGTAATGGCAATGGTAATGGTAATAGCAATAGTAGTAGAAATAGAATGGTAATCATAGTAGTAGTAGTAGAAATGGGGTCAATCTAAGGACAAGGAAAAGGAGCACTGCAGGAGAGCTACTGCACAACTTGTCTCTGTAGATGCCTTCCTTTCTTATTACATTGTCAAATGCTCCAAACTTCAGAACACTTGTGACTTGACCTGATCCTTTCTTCTTATACTTTTCTTACCTCTTCTCCTTTCCTATTTTTTCATTTTTCTTTGTTTGCCTTTCTGCATAAGTGTGTTCTGTCCTTCAGTTTTTCCCACCTGTGTTTTTAGTCTTACCCCTTGTAAGCCCTTAACTCTCCTGCAGTGTTCCTTTTCCCTGTCATTAGACTGACTCCACTTCTACTACTATTACAACTACCACTCCATTTCTATTACTTTTGCTACTACCATTACTATTGCCTCCCTTCACCCTTCACTCCCCTGTCTCTCTTGTGCTACTAAACTACTCTCCCTACTTTCTACTATCACTACTACTTCCATCACCAACCTTACCACTACCTCTACTTTTTTCCTTCCTCTCTTGGTCATGTCTTTGACCTCCTTGCCTATATATACTGGTTCTCTCTCTCTTTTGTGTTAGTTTGACTTTGTAAATGAACTGTGTCAGGCCGAAATGTTGTTGTAAGCCTCTCTCGCCTATGTGTGAATTATTTGTGTCTTGTTCCAGCCACGGTATTGTGCCTTTTTGTTCTTTTTTCATTCTTTTTCTTTAAACACACCTGCTGTTTCCCACCAAGGGGTGACCAGAAAAAAGAAGGAATACTCATCATCACTTATTCAGTCACTGTCTTGCCAGAAGCATGCTGACATCAGAGTTCGGATGGCCCTCTTGAGCTGCAACATCATCCTTCCTTCATAGTACAAACACTGTACTATACACCTCCAGGGCTCAAATCTGGCTAACCAGTTATCCCAGATACCTTCATAAATGTTACCTC